GATTAAAGCCTTTCTTCCTTTGGTGACTGTAACGATACAGTAAAGACATTTCAGGGCTTGGTGAAACAACCTTTCCTCCTGGCTCATCTTTCTGCTTTGTTTACATCTACAATACATACTTACAGATGAGAGAAGCCCACTGTGATTATCCCTCCCTGCATGAGGAAGCAAAGCCAGCAGCCCTAGAAGATGAGGTGTGAGGCTGTCGTGAGCAGTAAGTTATAGCAATCTAAGGCAGCACAAGTTTCCTTGTGATGGATGGACTGTTCAGTGGATAAGAAATTGGTTGGATGGTTGCATCCAGAGGGTAGTGGTCAACGGCTCTATGTCCAAGTGGAGACTGGTGACAAGTGGTGTCCCTCAGGGATCCATACTGGGACTGGTGCTGTTTGATATTTTCATCAATGACATAACAAGATTGAGTGCACCCTCGGCAAGTTTGCAGATGACACCAAGCTGAGTGGTGCACTTGACACACCAGAAGGATGGGATGTCATCCAAAGAGACCTGGACAAGCTGGAGAGGTGGGCCTGTGTGAACCTCATGAGGTATCAGTACAGGCTGGGAGATGAAGATATTGAGAGCAGCCCTGCTGAGAGGGACTTAGGGGTACTGATGGATGAAAAGCTGGACATGAGCCAGCAATGTGTGCTGGCAGTCCAGAAGGCCAACCGTACTCTGGGCTGCATCAAAAGAAGTGTGGCCAGCAGGTCGAGGGAGGGGATTCTGCCCCTCTGCTCTGGTGAGACCTCACCTGGAGTACTGCGTCCAGCTCTGGAGCCCTCAGAACAAGAAGGGCATGGAACTGTTGGAGCGGGTTCAGAGGAGGGCTACTAAAATGATCCGAGGGCTGCAGCACCTCTCTTATGAGGACAGGCTGAGAGAGTTGGGCTTGTTCAGCCTGGAGAAGAGAAGGCTGCGAGAGGTGGTGGAGGCCCCATCCCTGGAAACTTTCAAGGTCAGGTTGGACAGTAGTCTGAGCAACCTGATCCAGTTAGTGGTGTCCCTGCTCACTGCAGGGGGGTTGGACTAGATGACCTCTAAAGGTCCCTTCCTACCCAAAGCATTCTAAGATGCTAAGTTTCCATCCTATAGATAAGTGTTTGCTAATAGAACACATCTGCCTGGATCACCCATTTCTGGAAATATCCTTAGCTCTGTTATATGATCATCCTGGCTGTGTGGGGGACATCCAAAAGTGGTGGATTACTGCTGAAGGGTGGACTTGTCTGCAGCTCCTTTAGAGGTGCCCCTCTCTGTAGACTATGAAGGACCTCTGTTGGCTTTGCTCTGAAGTTAAGCACCTTGATTAGGTGGAAAAAGGGGAATAGGAGCCTCATGGACTAAGTACCCATTGCTACTCCATGGCTGCACCAATGGCCAGTGCATAAAGTTTTATATACGTGTATCCATAGTTTGCTGAGGCCTATCATCAGCTCCCACAGACATCAGTCCTTCACAAAATCCATCTCAAAGACAGGGAAGAGACTGACTAAAGTCTTATGGTGTGAACAATTTCCTTATGCATGCTTGATACACTTCTACATATTTATGTCTCCAACAACAATGGAATATGTGTAAATGCATATACTCAACCTATTTCTTGTTAAGCCACAGATCATGCAGCTTGGTGCTCTTCTCCCCATACTATAATTTTTACCTCTTTATTGCACAAGAAAACTGCAGTCAGTGGTAAGTGTTACAGCTGCTGTGCAAAAGACAAGTATACGGTTTAAGTTATGCTGTGCTACCTGGCTTAACTGTAGCCAAACCTACTTGATGACCCAGCTCTTAAATACGTAAAACTACTCCATTGCTATGCAGTCACACTGTGCCAAAGGGGATACTGAATCTAATGAAGTTTAAGCCAGTACAGTAAAGGTATCCTTGATCTGTACCTGAAAAACTTGTTATTGCTCTTATATTAGGGATCAGATGAAAGTAACATAAACCGTATCCTGCATTATAAATGAAAATATGTTTCTTCTGCTAGAAAACAAAGCTCTTTGGGATTACTGTGAGTGGCAGCAGGCACGGTGAGGCAGAGAGATGTCTTTCCCTTGTCGATCTTTGCTGTTGCATTTGGGGTCTGATTATTTTTTGTTGACTTGGTCATTCATCAAGTGTCTCAAAGAAATGGCGCAAACAGTAGGTAAGCTCCTTCATTCTGTCCCTGCGGAGAAGGGAAGCAGCAGTGATTGCTTCCGCCTCTTTGCTATGCTCGTTTTAAAACTGGATAAATAAATTAGAGATACGAGAGTTCAAAGAACAAGCTGTAAGCTGCTGCACGCTGGGGATTATGGATTCAGTGGACCGTGCTTCTCTGGTAAAGAAAACAGCAGCCAGAAGAAACTCTTCGGCAGCAGCGTGGCATCCCTTGTATTATTTAGCGCATTGTCTTTGCAATCGTCGTGCATACAGAAATGCACAGCAAGAGATGTTATTCTTCCTAAGAGATGCCCTTTTTGTTTTTACTCTTTGAGTGCTTATTTTCAGAGTAGCGCTGTAGACAGATAAGTCTTTTACGACGTTTGTATTTTAGGTACGCGATATCTCCACAGACTGAGTATTTAACTTACTATTGTGTGGAGAACTTTTGCAGAAGCAAATTTTATTCATCAGAGACACCCCTTTAATTAACTTCCACACTTCCACGGGGAGAGGAATATAAAGAAAGCTAATAATAATAATAATAATAATAATAGTGACATATCTTGTTACCGTTACATATTAAAATAAAATGCTGCAGGGAGTGGAGTTTCAAGGCCTCTTTTTTAATGAAGATCTTAATAGCATTTAATGTAAATTAAATATAATCACTGTCTGATTCCAGAGCATATCTCTGAGGCTGAAGAATAAGAAGTTAATTGTGCTGACAACATAGTGGGAAGTGCCAAAATCAAGCACCAGCATGGTGGTTAAAGTGCATTTTGAATTAAGAGGTGGAAGGCAGAAATTTTATTTTTTGTACTCCCGCTCACAGTTATTTTGCAGCAGTTCAGTGCAAAGTTTGTGCGGGGCATGGATTTATTACGTCAGATATCTACCATAAAATTTACATTAGAATGCAAATGAAGGAGATTTTATTTAACTTTAGAGATTGGGAAGGATCAGATACATGAGCCTAACAAGCCATTTTACTTTGGGGATGGGGAATCACTGATATGTAAATCCCTGACTTGTTCTGTGGGCAGATAATTTAATGAGGTCTGCAAAATGACTGGATGTCAACTCCAGCGCCTTGCATTGCATTAAGAAGAATTAGTTGTGGAAGTCTCGGTCTTGAAACTGCTGCTTATGAAATTCATGCACTTGGTGGCAAGATTTACTCGATTAAAAGATTGGGGATCAGGCTAACTGTGTACTCCTCAAGGGAGGCGATGTGACAGAATTCAATTCCCAGCTCCCTCTCTTGCAATGACAGCATGGAATACCTGTCTGTGGTAGATACGATGTCTTCCATCTCAAATTACAAGTGATGTAATTAGTCAGCTGGTGCCCTGGGTCCTGGGATCATGTGTGTTTGTTCAACCCTTAACATACCTCTGAATTACTGTTCTGCAGCTAAGAGATGTTATCTTCATGGTATGCTAAGCTTTCACTTGTATACCTGGTAGGTACGATGCATAAAATTAAGTGTACCTTCATCCTGGATAGCTTTCCCACCTGAGCTGCCTGCACGGAGATCTTGCTTAAGTGAAAAAAAAAACCTGCCAAACTTTGCTATGGGGGTGAATATCGTTGTTTGTGGTGCCTATGTCCATCTTCCCTCACTAGATGGAAATGACAGTGAGTGGAGTGCTTGTTGAGAGGTGTCAATTTATTTGTAGTTAAGGTTACATTTGGTAAAGACTGTCTGGGAGTTGGTCTTGTTCCTCAAAGGAGGTGCTGAAAGAGATGACATAAGTCTTGAAAGAGCTGAGCAAAAAAAGAAGGAATGACCTGAAAAGCCAGGATGGGCCATGGGTCTTTCAGGACAGAGGGCCATAACTAATCATCTTAACTTTTTTAATCAAAGGACTTCCATTCACTTGAAATCCCACCCACCCTGAAAAAAACAGCACTAACAAGTGAGCCTTTTCAATACAACCATGGCTCAAATGTGTCCTCTAAGGGAGAAAGAAGATCATTTTCTCCAGGTCTTTCTTGAGTCTTATCTAGACTTTTTGACTGAAGAATTAAGGAAAACCACCCCTTTCTGACTGAAAACATGTGAACTGCTTCCTGGGGAAGCTGAGAGGCTGAAAATGTCCTGTTGGCCTTATAAAGCTTGAGAACTACTGGACTGAGCTAATAAGTACCTTTGGGCAGCATTTATGTCTCTTCCCCCTACTTTGTGCGGTCCCGAACAGCAAAGGCAGCAACCAGTGCTTACAAGAAATAATGGTTCTGGAATTTGGGGTATAAAGGAGAGGGACAGCCATGACTTGGAGAGGGGAATGGTTTGGGACCTGCCTACCTGTTTCAGTGCTCATAAAGCAGCACTGCACCTTTGTGTTCACAGTGCTTTCCTGGAGATAGTATGTCATTAGCAGGTAGATGATCATGGTAAGTAAATTTGTCCTGCTCAATTTCTGTCTCTTCAAATTTCTCTCCTGAGTACTAAATTTTCCAGGGAAAGCCTTCAGGCAACTTCCCAGTCCCATCTCTTTTTGCTATATAACCCTTCTTTTGACAATTTGACTTGCAATACCAACCATGTGTGATGGCCTCGTTACATGTCCACCCCTTATTTGCACCTTATCTTCACCCATTATTTTGCAGGTCCACAGCCATTGTCTTTGTGCTGATCACAGGAAGAACATTTTGGGCAGCTCCTTGCTAGTATTTCCTGCAGCATTCTGGCTGCCATTGCTGGTCAAGACCCTGGACTTGCTGTAGTCCTACTGTGGCTCCATGGGTTGTGTGTTGTGTTGTCTCAGTTGCTCTGCAGCTTGATAAATTTCTGTGTCTCATTATGCAATTAATTTCAGTTGCACTTCCCATCATCTCTTCTGCAGGCATGCAACCCAGCAGGAGACTAATAAAACCATCACGACTAGCACCAAAGCCATCAAGCAGCTGTCTGAGGTTGTCAGAGGCTCATCCAGGGTACGTGTCATTCAAGATGCTTTTGGGGAGAATGCTGGGTCTTGTGGAGGGAGAAGTAATGACAAAAGAAGTGGTAGTGGGTTCTTTAAAGATGTTGAGCTCCATGTCTTGTTATAACTTCCTTTCCGGTTACACAGTAAGCATCGTCTGCATTTATGAATGACCAATGGGAAAACAGCTGCAGAAACCAGTTCTTCTCCCAAAATTGGATCACGTGGAATTGAAAATCAAGAACTCACCAAGAAAGGCTTGAGGAGTTCACACCTGTCTCGGGGTCTCGCTCAGCTTGGGTGAAAGTACTACAGGAATCACCTGGCTCCACATGAGTTTGGCATTGGTCAAAGACTCAGTTGTGCAGTGGGTGCACTGTCTGCAGATGAGTTTGGCAATGTGTTGAAATGTATGGAAAGGGCAAAGCAGTTGAATATGCCTGGATATGACATTCATTCAGTGCTGCATCCTAATGGGAAAGCCGTGGTGAGGATAGATAATTACAGGCCGTGGTCAGATCAGAGCAGGACTTTGAATTACATTTAACCCACAGCAACCCCATCTGTTGTACGGACAGACTGGAGTCCTGTCATCACGAGGTTCAACTCATATTAACATTATTGTCACAGGGGTATGAATGATCCCCATTCCTGATCCCCAATGCAACGGTTAGACTAACAGAAGGTTTCTGACCTTTCCACAAAGACTTTTATAG